CCATTTTTGGCAGTCGCAAAAGCGTGGCACATGAGTCATAAATGGAGTCGCAAATTTTGTGACGCCAAAATCAGTCACAAAAAACAGTTGCTAATTATCTGTTTTCTTGTAGTGTCCCTATTTTCTCTTTGGGTGGGAGGACTGGTAAATAATTAGAAGAAACTTTTTTTCTTGAACATATTCTGGGCCCATTGCAAAAAGTTATATCTTTTATTTTCGGATTGCATGCATATTTCTCGCTTACAAATGCCACTAAAACGTTTTTTCCCAGCTTTTTTCTTTCTTCAATTTTCTACACAAACTTTGTGAACCAATAAAAAAACTAAACGAATTAATTATCTCTCTAAAATTCACCAAATAAAATTGGCTAAGCTAATTTTATAATTAAATCGTAACCACGGTTAAGTAAGCCAAAATTACGTTTTAGAAATCTAATAAATATATATGCGTATTTCCCCCTAGAAGTGGAAATAGTTAGATTTCCTCCTAGACTTTTACCTTTTTTTTGCTACACAAACAATTTAAATGTATCATAAAACTACATGAACTTTTTTTTATCTTTTTACCAAATAAAATTGGTTTAGCTAATTTTGAAATTAAGTTAAGTAAACCGTAATCGTATTTTACTGGTGTATTTTTCTCTTCAAGCCATCAAGTACTTTGCCATGAGGCCTCATACTAGTGTATCAACAACCGGTAATTGAGCCTTCCTTGAGCAAAGAAACTTGCTCGAACATCTCAATAGAAAATTTGATATCGTCCTCAGTACCTAAGACCATCAAGCCGACGATGTTACAAACAATCGCATGAGTCATCTGGGTAAAGGCGATATTACGCCTCTCACAGTACTTAACAAATTGGTATGGAAGGGGAAACAAGAGGTGACATGCCGAGAACTCCAGCTCACTGAACATCTTGCACCTTCTTCTCATAGTAGCATAGGACTCGTCCCTACAAGTGGAAGGGCAAATCCCGTAAATGGGACTTGGTCCTACAGAATTCCTGTCGTAACCTTCCACTAGCTCTTCCGGTTTGTCGACCTGTTCATCGACGACCTGTTCGTCCAGATCACAAAGATCTTGACCATCTGATTCCCGTAGAAGGAACAAAATATCGTGGTTTTCATCTATCAACCTACGATTGATGATAGCGGTAACTGTAAACTACAAGAAAGCTCCCTCTCCGCCTGGTGAAGTACAGACAAGCGAAGATGATGTAGCAGAAGAATTCGAAGAAGTCGCCAAGCTAGATTTCGGGTTTGCTCAGTAGGTGACAGGGCGAATCACATTTCGAAGACATGGTTTTTATGAAGGAATTAACGATAAAATCTTGAGAAAAGCGGAAATATAAAGCAAAATGCGTTGAAAATCTCATAACAAGATAGGGATATGATAGACTCAGAAAAAGAGTTCTACCATTCCGGATATGAAGATTAGAAAATAAAAATGAGGGTTTTGGGAACCGATATTCATAGTCGAAGTACGAAAACCGAGAGTCACGATTAGATGTGGGCGGCGGCGTGCTGTGAACAAACAAGGCGCCTCTTCGACGTCTCATCGACATGCATGGTCCAGAGCGCACCACGTGTTCGACAACAAAGATGCGTCGATTTGAGATCTAGGTCAAATCAGTTTGATGATATTTCTTGTGCTCCGATCACCGACCGTGGTACCAGATTCAGCACCCATCATCAAGGCCACCATCTATTCTATTTTAGTATAGGCCACGTTGGACCTCTGTTTCGTTTGCTCTACTTTGTTATAAGAAAAATTTGAAGGAGTTTTTTTTCACCTAATCGAATTTGATATAGGTTTTTTTCTTTTCTTTTTTCAACGATATAGGTATTGATTTGCTTGATATATTTTCTAGACTAAAACTCAAATGGAACCCCTAATTCCGTTGGTCATAACATAATGATTCACCACATTTCCATAGATGGGAATACATAGGGGCTTATGGGTCCAAAAGACAAGAAGTTTATATAAGAAATCCTTGAAATTGAAAAGCATAATTTTCTTTAAATTCCTGTATTGAATATATTCCGATCTGACAAAAAAAATGTATATATTTATATTTAATATTCAAATAAAAACTAT